GATGATCCTTTGACTCCGAAGCTGTTGCGGCAAATCAAGACAGAAAATTATCACGGCGATGAAGAAGACGACCAGGAGGATCACGAAGAAGATGGATTTCCTTTGGACAGGATCCATTTAAAGGGGAAATGTGAATATGATGACGAGGACCAAGCCGAAGACGAGGAGGGAGGAGAAGAGGAGACAGTGAAAAAAGAGAGAGACAGCAGTACGGAAGACAAAGCCAAGGTCCTGTTAAGTTCACTGCTAAGAACATCCGCAGCCAGAGAGAGTGAACAATCCTCCAACTCTCCCAGAGCTGGACCAAGCAGCGAATCAGGAGAAGCACAGGAGAGGAACTCTGCTCAACTAAAGGCTCGCCATCAGCGGCGACGCCTCCCCAACAAAGAGCTGAGCAAAGAGTTCAACCAGGAGATTCCCAAGAAAGAAGACTGTCTCTCCAACCAAAACCACGGCTCAGTGAAGACGGAGGACGGTTCGGCCAATCACAATCGACGGCCTCTGAAGAGCGAGGACTCCGTGACCAATCACAACCGTAAACCACTAAAAACGGAGGACTCAACCGCTAATCAGAGCCGCAGGGCCCTTAAAACAGAAGAAGGTTTGGCCAATCACAACAGACGCCCGCTGAAAACGGAGGACAGCCTTGCCAATCAAAACCACAGGCCTGTAAAAACTGAGCCTGAGAACGAAGTAGAGGACCAAAAGCCTCGATGGCCTCTTAATAACGGCAGCAGCGACCTGGGCGACTGGCTGCGGCACAGGGGGAGGGAGGTGAACGAGACACCGCGTGGTTACTCGCCACTGGGCTGGAACAGAGGCATGCAGATCACACCCGTATGCCCCCGTCCACTCCCCTGCCGGTCACCGCCAAAATGCATCCAAATGGAGCGTCATGTGATCCGGCCCCCTCCCATCAGTCCTCCGCCTGACAGACTCCCGCTGACCGACGGTGAAGCGCACGTGATGCGAAGGGAGATGTGGATGGCGGTGTTCGGCCACTTGACTCACAGAGATCTTTGTGTGTGCATGCGTGTCTGCAGGACCTGGAACAGATGGTGAGTACAACATGTGCTGTGCAGTTGAAAACATGTCTTCCACACTTCGTTATACAACACCCGTCTGTAAGAACACCGTGTCTCGCTAGGTGCTGCGACAAGAGGCTTTGGAAGCACGTCAATCTGAACCGCTGCAAGTCCATCACACCTCTCATGCTGAGCGGCATCATCCGGAGACAGCCGGCAGCTCTGGACCTCAGCTGGACCAACATCTCCAAAAAACAACTCAGCTGGCTCATCAACAGACTGCCAGGTAAATACATTCAACCAGCAAATGGCCTGGCTGTTTGGTATCTGTTAACCAAAAACTGAAAAAAGTTTTGAATAGATTTTATGTAGTTTTTATGTAGTCATGGTTCTCATATGTCACCATATGTATCATCTACATGGATAATTGTGTCTCCAGAGGCTCCGTGAATCCAGACGTTTTTTTCTTTGTTGCTTCTAAATGTCTTTGCGGGATCACTCAGCTAATTAGATGAGAATAATCACTGCTTCTGTGTCGGTTTATTTTGTGACCGCAGATTAACTAAAACTCTGGAGACGTAAAAAACTGAAAAATAGGGCACATTTCTTCAACAGACTGAATGAGAGTCTGCAGTATATTTGGCTTGCTGTGATGCTGCTTGGGGCCACAAAGAACAGGTTTTATATCGTTTACAGAAGATCAGTGAATTGTATCTTAGTGTAAAAGGTGTCTGACATGAGGCTCTGTGTGTCCCTGCTGTTTCTGCAGGTCTGCGTGTGCTGCTGTTGTCCGGATGCTCCTGGGTGGCGGTCTCTGCTCTTTGCACCTCCAGCTGTCCTCTTCTGCGAACTCTGGATGTTCAGTGGGTCGAGGGACTGAAAGATGCCCAGATGAGGGACCTGCTGTCGCCTCCCACAGATAACAGGCCAGGTACCGACCTGCAATTCACACACACTGCCTGAACAGTCTGAGGCTGAGTGAGCAACACCGGGGAGTAATAGGAAATTATTGTTATTATTAGGAATAGGAAATGAATGCGAGGAGTGGATATTTTACGTGTAACTTATATATACTAATATATTAGAAAATGGGTCGCAAATATATAATTTAATTAAAAAAAATAAATATATCATTTCTGAAAACAGCTGGCCAGCAGTTTTTAGCAAAAGTTACTCAATCAGGAGTAAATTTGTTCATTATTTTTATTTGACGATTAATACACCATTGGCCCTCTAGTGATTTTAACAGGAAGGTGTATAAGGGGTTGAAGTCGAGATGAATCATATTTTGCACCTATTTAACAATATATACAAAACAATTAATTTCTTCGTATTTTTTTATCTAAATCCAATCATGTTTTCTTCCTGTAAAACAAGATAGAAGTGTGCTTAAATGAGCTAGTACCAGCCAGTTTCAACCAATAATATCATGACAGCCATCAATCAATCAACCTGCAACTTTTAGCGACAAGGGAGGTTTGTGTGGAGCTCCAGTCGATCCGGATCACGCTACATTCTAAGCACGGACACTTTTTAGGGGTCTAATCAAATGTGAAGGATTTGAATTAAATCCCTCTTGTAACTGCACACCGCTGAAATATTCCGTTTCACTTGGAAACACGAAACGGTACAGAAGCTGAAAACGTTCGAACTAAAAAAAAAAAAATCAACTACAGTGCCCCATGTTTATCCTTATGAAGGAACATGTCACTCAGTGCAACGTTGTGGCTCATTGATGTGTTTTTAATAGTTATTGAACAACAACGGCGGTCATTGGCACAGAGGAATAAGCCGTATCTGGCTTTGGAAACAAGCCATACGTACAACATAATGCTTGTTAGATGGAACTATCTACAAAATAGCACCTTTACCATGATTTTGTCTCAAACATCCGTCTTCTACTTTTTAGGTCAGATGGACAACAGGAGCAAACTGCGTAATGTGGAGGACCTGCGCCTGGCAGGCTTGGACATCACAGACACGTCTCTGCGCCTCATCATACATTACATGCCCTCGCTGTCCAAGCTGGACCTCAGCTACTGCAACCACGTCACTGACCAGTCCGTCAACATCCTGACTGCTGCAGGGACGACCACCAGAGACTCGCTCACTGACATCAACCTGTCAGGTAGGAGCCTGTCTTTGTTGGCTGTTAGCCTGCCTGCATTTGACTTGCTCCCCCGAATGGCTAAATCCTGAAGTTATAAGATGTGTTGAATTGTTGTGTCTATAGTCATAGACGTAAAGAAAATATTTGACTTTACAGATGTGCAATGCAGCACAGTGAATATTTTGTCACATCGTTGTCAAATAGTTGCCAACAGAAAATTGTTTAAAAACCTACTGATACCAAAAGTTCTGACTGGAAGGTACTGTAAGAAAATACATCTAAACACCTCCATGTGGGCCAGTTTATTAGGCACACCTCACCTAAACTAATGCAGTCTGATACAACAATCCTGCAATAAATCGGACCTTCATGAGGATTTTAATATTCAGTTTTTGTAGAAACTGTTTTAAAGAGGTTGTCGTTTGTGGTACTACTACAAATCGTGGAATACATTTTTATAGAATTTCATTCAAAAATAACTACATCTTATACTTGTCGTCTCTCTGGAACACCATTAAATGTGAAAAGCATTGAATCAAAGGGCTATTATGGAAACTGCTGAAAGGCAAATGCATTTTGGCCTTCTGGCTCCTCATGTATCCTGAAACACTGCCCGCCATAATGAGGATTTCATGTCCTAGAATATCGTAAAGCCTTGATTAATCCATGTGTGTCATAGCTTATGTCAGTGCAGGTGATGCGTGGTGGTCTGTACTGACAGTGCTCAACGCTCTGCCTGGCAATATTTCATTGACTCCTAAGTACTTGAGAAAAAGCAGTATGTATGTTATTTTGGAAGGTTTTCAATATGTTTGGAAAATGACATGATGACCTATTTTTTTTTTATCACCTGCATCGTTTGTTCTTTTTCTCCTAACCCCAATTTCTCCCTGCAGTGTGCAACAGGGTCACAGACCAGTCGCTGACCTATTTCAAGCGCTGTGGAAGCATATGTCATATCGACCTGCGATACTGCAAACAGGTGAGCAAGGAAGGATGCGACCGGTTCATTGCAGAAATGTCCGTCAGCGTGCAGTTTGAACTGATAGAAGAGAAGCTGCTGCAAAAGATCAGTTAGGAACGTGGAAGACTGTGTGACATTCACGAGCGGTGGAAGTACTGACCACACAGAGGCAGCAGACGACTGTGTGCTTCGTTTACACCCGCCGACAGGAGGACGCGTCTGTCTCTGTCGAGCAGACGTAAGAGGAAGCTGTGCTGCTAAGCCAGAATGTAAAAATGGAAATCTTGTCCTGTGAAGGCAATATTGCAAAAATGTTTTTGTTGTTGTTTGCACCTGTTTATAAGTTATTTATTTCTTTATATATTGATTGTTTATGTATCGTATCATGACTATCTTTTAGTGTTAATAGATTTTTTGTTTTTGTTCCAATGCAAAGTTTATTGCATTAGAGTAATATTTTTGTATCAGAAAGTGTTTCATACATTTATGTGCAGTATTGATTGCACCACTGTACAGTATCATACCATTGGAATTGATAATCAATCGGCATTACTGTTAAGCTCTTAATTGTTGAGAGGCAAAGGTCTAATGATTTGTTGCCAAACTGTAGGACGGCGCTTCTGTTTGTGTTTTTATATTTGATTATATGTTTCAGTGCCCTGTTGATGTTCGGACAAAGGTGCTGTATATGTTGTTTTCCATATAATGATACAATTTGCACTGATACAGTAAATATGAATACATGAATGTATTCACACATACACTTTACAGTGTACAGTCTATAAAGCTTTTTTTTTTTTCCAAAACTAAAATGTTCCGCTAATTCTACTAACAGCTTCTCGTTAACTGGGTTATATTAAGACATAGCTGCATACAAAGGTCTCTGCCAGTCTCCGTCACTCTTTAGTATTATTGTTGCTTTGTGAAAGGACGCGTTTTAGCTCTGCATGCAGCAAAGACGCATGTTTACACCGCAGGCAATAGGGTTAGTAACTGAAACAATATAATCATCTGTTTACTCCCATCAGCTGAACTCCACATGATAAAAGAAGAAAGGGACTCAGTGCTGAATCATGCAAAAAAAGAAAGAAAGAAGCAACAATCAGCAGAATGAGATGTGACATTTGCATACATCTTTTGGACGAGGCAGACATGATTAACTCAGTCAAACAGGCCAAGACGCTGAAAGAAATGAATACTGTATATTTCAAAATCCTCCTGACCCCAGAAATGTGATTATAGTAAGTGAGCAGTATAGTATTCTGTTTCCAAGGGCAGAGATGAATATATTTTATTTAAAAGATATAAAGCCAGTGTCAGTAAACCAATCAAGTAGAGTTTTTACCAGAGTATGAAAGAGGATCGCAATCCTGTCACTGAGCCTCTGCCATTTGGAAAACACACCTTTCCTGAAAGGTTTGTGCAAATGTGATTTTGTTTGTTCTTTTTTTCCTAGAGACTAATACGTATAAAATATATATATTTCTTAACACCGGTTGTTTTCTTTAAAGTTTTATTGAGTTAAAGATCTGAAGATAAAGTACTTGTCAACCTATAGCGCATCAGTTTAGTAGCATTTTCACAAGTGTTGTTTCTTACACATTTATTCATCATCCTAATATTAAAAGTTATATTAAAAGTTGCTAATTTTGCTATTGGAACTTAGTCTAACAGATGTCGGACTCAACAGTTAAATTATTTGATAGGTTTACATTTTTCTTGAAAACTAAACTTTTTTAAAGATAGTCTTTTTGACTAGCACTTGATACAGTTCAGTGGATGGGTTTACATTTGCATCTTATTTGTTTGTTTTTTATTAAAGCAACATGTCTTCATGAAATATTTTAGTACATTACAGTAAATGTGCAGTCTGTACATTATGCACATGTAAAGCCTCTAGGAAAAGTTAAGTCAACCCTTGAGATATTAAATTCATTTTAAATACTGAGCTGTGTGTGAGTTATTATATATTGCTGTTATCACATTAGTGTTATTATTTATAAGTGAACTTTAACTGTATGACAACCACTATGTTGGCTGTAGGAGAACAAAATCAAGCCGGTTACAAAATGAAGAGCAGGTTTTTACTTTCTGGTTTGTAGGTAGTTCTGCATTTTATTGAATCTAATAAATCACTTTTTTTCTCTTGTTTACCAAAATAAAAAGGTTCAACATTTCAAAATGTAAAGATCCAGGATTATGAGTGCTCATGATAACCTCCTACTCTGATAATACTGTAGCTGCCCAATGAATGACATCTTTGAGAACCGGCAGCATCAACAAACAGACTTACAGAGTTACAGAGCATGGTGTCCGTGTCGGTTTTGGATCCGAAGCAGACGGCGACAAAAAGTGCTCGAAAGCGAGACCATGACTGACGCAACTTTAATGGTGAGAGAGTGACGTGAGCAGAGAACTGAGGAACTCGTCTGACCAAAATCAGCAGAGATACATTCTGAAAAAAAGGTATATTTTATCTTATAATTTTAAATCATGTCGCCTCCCAAGTAAATGGAAAAATATACATTTAATGACTTATAAGTAAACAACAATATAAGCTATCTATGCGATTCACTTAACTGCAATTCAGCTTCTTTTTTCAAAAGTAACTCAGCCATACTGTACACACATATTTTAGTGACATCTGAGTTTACTGGATCTCATGACAAGAAAACAAAAGTGTTTCATTTGCATAACAGGTTAAAGTAAACCAGGCTTTCTCTGCCCCTCACTCTGTGATGGACATTTTGGAAGGAGGCCTTGACAACATGTCAAGAGGTATGTTGATGTTACACTCAGGAAAGAGAAAGTAGCACCGGTCACCTACCTAAGATCATCGACACATTAACGGACAACACAATCAAAGAAAGACACTTGGTAGACTTGGAGACTAAATGGAATCGCTTGGTGGCAGTTCTTTAAAATGAAAGGGGGATGAGTCTTTAAAAAAATCTTCACTCAAGGTCCACTTATTAGCTTGTTCTTGTCTCGTGGTCTTCCTCAGGAGAAGGATGAGACCGTTTAAATGATCTCTCCGTCATATACGACCACCTTCGGTCACGGAGGCTGACCCGTCTCCATGACAATCGAGCAAACTCCACCTGCTGATGAAGTTTGTAAATTTTGAAAGCCCAGGAAAGAGCTAGTAAGTGGGCCTTGAGTTCAGATTTGATATTTTCCCCCCCTCAAACTGCTGTTTCAAAAGGTGACAAATGAACCTTCACGCTCAACAGCTCGGCATTCGTTACTATTCGTGTCTTCGGCAGAAATCATAACTGTGCACTTCATTTATTGACGAGGAAACAATCACGTCCTTTACGCAGCAAGCGTTCAAATGTTTCACACCTATTTCCTAAAGTACATTTCAGAAAAAAAAGAGTAAACTATCACACCAAGCTTGCTGGTTATGAGATGAATACACCAAGAAATCTGAACCAAATATCGATCAAAAGGCATGACGTTTGGCACCTTGCACCCTCCTGTGTGCGAGACGAGATGACCCGGTGCTTGTGGTGTTCGGATTAACAAATAGACATTTAATAAAAACACATGTAAGTCTCTTCTTTTAAATATTGCACATCCTAAAAGAACACTGAGGGAGATAACACGGCGTCATGTGGCATGACTGTGTAAACCCTATTGACTCTAACCCTGGGATCTTATATTTGTCTGCTTCTCTTCACCTTACAGAACAACCTGATCCTCTTCAAGTATCCATGGGACCACTTCCTCTCCTCTCCCGTGAGTACAAACTAAACAGAGAATGGAGAGCAGAAAGTGATGGCAGAGCTTTCTGCTGTGTGTTTAACAGACCAAAGAGAGAGAGAGTGAGTGTCCCGGTGCAGCTGATGACGGTCCAACAGGGAGGAGAAGTGGGGCTGGAACATGAGTTAGTAAGGGAGGATGGGGGGGGGACCATGGTAGTCCGGAGGCAACAGTCTGGTTTCAAAGACCGGGAAGTTGCTCGGACCTGCTGCAGCATTAGGCCCTGTGAGACGTCATGCACAGTAGTTCATCCTCAGTGATAAATTCATGGCTCTGGCCACAAGTGCGCCTGAGGGCCGCTCTGACGAGCACAGTTTTAAGACTTGAAGACGTGCACGGCCCGCACTACGTACTGCCTGCAGATGGGGCACTCGCTCATCCTCTTTCCACATTTGGTGCAGGTTACCATGTGACCACATTCCAGCAGCACGCAGTCGATGATGGCGTCCATGCAGATGCGACACAAGTTTTCATCAGCCGCCAGCTGAGCCTTGACACCATCTGTGGATGGGAGAAACAGTGTTATTTTTCTGTTACAATGCTTCTCTTCAGGATCGTTAAACTGTGAAGTTCACTGATGTTGTACAGGTGTTGTACAGTCCAACGGCACCTAACTGAAGCTGCTGCGGTCTGAGAACGATCAACATAACGACATCAGTCACCACTGTTTGCTCACTTGCAGTGGATCCTCTCTTCTATCTCCCTACTTTAAATTCCTCACCTCACCTTGCGCATACCTTGCGCATGTGAGGTGTCACTTTGAAATAACCTAAAACACTGTTTCCATTTCAAGTGGTGATAAGTTAGTGGTAACATCATTAAGGTATTTATGTTCTAAATCTAGCTCCTGCTGCTCACATCTCGTGTGACGGGAAAAAGCCAGTCGAGCTGCAGCAGCCTGTCTGCTGTCCCTACACGTCTGACTATTAAGTGGGCTAATATGATCCTCGAGCCCTTTATGTCAACAAGAGAGCCTCTAGGACGGCCGACAATGTAATTACACCTGATGGAGACACGCTGCTACTGAAGTAATATGATGGCTCATCAAGAGGTAAAAGCTCTTAGAGCGAGTGCATTAATGAGAGGACGAGAGTCCGTCCTTCACGATGCAATGAGATGATGCTGCCCGCTGGAGACGAAACATGAGTGACAGAATGTGGAGACACTGAACCAGGCAGGAGATAATGACCACAATGTGATAATATGCAGGATGATATAAAGGATCAAGTGGGTACAAATACTGCAGCATGGCTTTACAAATATCAAATGATTGGTGCGATGTACAGAATGTGGTCATGGAGGAGATGGCAAAGGGGCGGTGAAGTGGCCTTTAATAAAAACATCTTACCTCCAACTCCACTTTTGCTGAGAGGTGGAGGATATGCAACCACTTTATAGATAAGAATGGGCAGTCATAAAGAAAGTACATTAGTTCAGGAAAGTAAATGTACTGTTGCTTTTCAACATTGAGATCACGTCACAGGAGGGAGCTAAGTGCACTTGCATGTAGATTAAATGTGTTAATATCAGTGTTCTCCTTAAAAGGCAATGGCAATAGTTTTTAACCTGTGAAATATGATAATCAAACAATAATTACCTGCAGTTATGCTCACATTTTCCACTGAAAGAAAAAGGAGAAAACAAGGTAGTGATTATCTTATTATACAGGTACAGAACATGGAAGGTCAAAATGTGATATTTAGACACAAAAAGGAAAACATTCTTACTGGACTTCCTGTTCTGCTCATTTTCTCTGTAGAGTCGATGCACTCTCTCCAGCAGCTCCCACTTCTCACAGCAGCCGGAGTAATTGACAAAGTTCCTGGCGAGAATCTCTTTCAGCTGGCGGACGGAGAGGTTTTCTATCGCCTCTTCATTGTCCAGATCAGACAGCGAGGCCCTGATCCTCCTCTGTGTCGCCGGACTGACCTACGGTCCACACAGGAAACAGAGCTGCGGTCAATAACGCAGTCTGCATTCCCTTGAAAGCCTTGTCAGTCTGTAATGATCTTTGTTCTTCTACTGTAAACACTACTTAGTACTGCAAATGTGCAAAACACAAGTGTTGTACCTCTATGAAATTGTCGGTGGGCTCCAGGTTCAAGAGAGACGCTGTTGGAGTATCCTCCTGCTCCTGTTTGAGTGGGAATCAACACGCTGAGGTTAACTGAAGTTGGTTTAGATTCTCACAACAGCATTTCACTCACTGATGCTTTTAATGTTTAATCACCTGATATCAAATGTGTAAAACACAACCTTGAATTCTGTAGTTTACAAGACATTTATCAGAACCTCCTATGTCATGTTTTTGGGGGCAGCTGAACTGAGAAAATACTAAATTGACCAATATTTGTCACCACCTACATTCCCTGACACTATCACAAGATAGACTGTGCCTGATTACAAATCATAGTTTCTACTAGCTCCATATGACTAGCCATAAAAAAACAACTTCATATCTCTCTGCGATCTAAGTCTTTAAAGTACAACTGTTCAGATAGCTAATGAAAGAATAGAGATGTTTAAACACTGACTCAGCTGCTCCTAACCCAGCGGTTCTTATTCTCTTTGAAGGTGGAAGTCGTGAATTTGCTGGATGAAAAGGGAGTAAATGGAGGCAGAGAATAGTGCAGACTCAATTTGGTTTGAGTGTATAGCTCAATGTTATCTCAGCCATTTACGCACTTTGAAGAGAGGATATCGTCTCTTTATTATTTTATCTGCTTGACAAAAGGGAGCGAGTGAAGGGCTGAAATGAGCTCTAACTGTGTGATATCATGCTGGAGTGCACTCTCTGTTTCTGGACCTAAAAACCTCTGTCTCTCTCTCTCTCTCTGGTTCGGCATATTCCAGCAGACCAATCACCTCCCTGGAAGGAAGATGTGTTAATAATGCATCCGTCAGCGTCGCGGTGCTGGATGCCTGCCCTCAACCGGACGTCACGCTTTAGCTCAGGCTAGACAAAAACACGAGCAGCCGCCCCGACACATGCAAAGAGTGCCAAACCTCTCAGGAGCACGTTTCTTTGACTTGATGTTCGATTGTGAAAGTACTAGAAAGCGCTCAGAGAGTGCGTACTTCTGCACGAGCTGGTCAATTTGATATCTTAAGCATAGAAAATGTTAAGAAATGTTCATCATAATATACTTGGTGATAGACAGTCATGGGTCACTTTTCCTTTCATTGCAATAGTTCATGAGAAAAACAAAAAGTTAACTCAACCTCCTGGATTTTGCATTAAAATGTGTCCTATATACTGCAGAAATGACGATTTAATAACGTTATAATATCTTATGTCAGGATGATTTTATCACATTTCTTCTTATCCAGTAATCTTGTCAATTTACATTAGAATATAAACCTGTTTCAAGGTAACTGATTGTAGGAGGAATTGGTTATTTCAAGAAAACTGTGTTCAACAAAGACAACATTGCATGTCGTTGTTTTGTTGCATTGGTCTTCACTGCCGAAACTATGTATCCAAGAAAGTTAATTAGTATAATCTTATAATCAGATTAAAAATCTAGTTGGACGTCATTTTGACTGATTTTTATGTTTCAATAAATACAGGTCATTTGTTACAAATATTCAGCTGTTTTTTGAAATCCTTTGGTTGGAAAATGAAATAACCCACAAGAATCTGAAAGCCTTTATGTGCCACAAACTACGACATGATCCAGAGATCATCTATGGAGGGGGGAGAGGAGGGATGTACTGTGGTGTTTCTGTTGGCTGTTACATAACAGACTCAGCCTATGTAACAGACCTAGAAAAGGCAAAGGGCTTAAGCTGCATCGCTGGCTGGTGCGAGGGCTCTGCTCACACAGCTGTCTCCTGCTGTCACGTATACATTCTGCTGAACATTGGACCTGCGCTGACAATCTGAGCTTTTATAAGATCAATGAGGGGAAAATAATTCACTGAAATGTAGTAGATTTTCAAGGAGAAACACTTCATTCAAAGCAAAGCACCACGAGACCATAAAAAACACAGAAGACTGCACGAAGGGAAGAACAAAGCATTGAATTACTATGAAATAAGATCTAAAGATGTTTGTCAGGGAGTTGAAGGCAGGAAGCCTTCTGACACATGGAAACGAGCTCACGTCACCTTTGAAATTAATTATCTTGGATAGAATGAGGACAGATTTGGGGAGAAGTATGGCGTATGTAAATCAGAGGACTGTGTGTGGCCTGGCAGTACTCAGCGTTAGCGCTGCATGCAGACACACACGGTGAACACCAGCCGTGCGTCTCACCTGGCTGCTGGTTCCTGAGCTGTCACTTGGGCTGAGCACGTCTCCCTGAGAGGCGGAGATCACCGACTGTTCGGAGGCGGAGCGCGTGGCCGAGGGGGGCGAGGTGGCGCGCGAGTGGGGGAGCGAGTGCAGGCTGTCTGTGTCCTCTCCCCCTTCATCTTCTTCCTCCTCCTCCTCTTCCTCCTCCTCATGCGTGTCCTCTTCGTCTTCCTCCTCCTCCTCGTCCTCTTCCTCCTCGTCCTGGTTCTCCGCCACCGGTCTCGGGGATTCCCTCGTCCCCTGATGACAGAGCACCAGGTCCACCAGGTCCTGTTTCTCCCTGCACGTGTCGGTGGAGATGTTGCGCAGCAGCAGGTACTGGCGCAGGTCTTTCACTCGGAGCTGCATGAGCCGAGGCCTCTGGAAGGCCGTGCCGCGCAGCAGGTGGCAGGTCATACAGCAGCGCAGGTTCTCCTGAAGCACCGAGCACAGGGCGCAGAAGCTCTTCTTACAATCACAGCAGATGTGCTGTTGGAGGGAGAAGTTGATGGAAGCAGGTGTGCATTTGTCTTCTTTTCAACAACATAATTCAGGAAACTGTATATTGCATCCTTTCTGATCAGGCCCTGATGTCTGACTGTTAGCATTTTCAACTATTTATTCTCCATGAATTTGCTGCTTTTCGCTATTTAGATAAAATAAGCAATTATACTTTGGGAAATGATGATGGACATTTTTCTTTACGCTCAAAGAGGGAATGCAGATTAATCCATTAATTGAAAACGTAATTGACAGATTTATTGATAGGGAAAATAATAATCAGAAATGATGGTAATCGACCGTTATCAGAAAAACAATCAGATTTTTCAACCTAACAACCATATTGACAATTATGTATTTCCTAGAGGCTGCTGCTTTGACAAAAGAGAAAACGTATAAACCAGCAACACCAAGTTCCATCTGAAACATCGGCTCATATCCTGCGTGCTCGGTTATTTTCTGGGGACGAGTAAAGTAAGGTAAATAATCTGTGAAGCTCCCGGTGATGTTTGACATTTTACTGGCGTAACGCCGTCTCCTGATACAGAGCAGCGGAGTAGATTGACACTTCAAATGGGCAGGAAAGCAGGTCAGCCATGGCTGTGAACATTTTCTTATCACTTGTGCACAAATGTGCTTATGGCGGACCAGAGCACATTTGCACGGCAAAAGACACTTTTCTTCAGTCGTGTGAAGTTAATCCCCCGGCGCGTTATTTTTTCATACAATGAAAATATCGCGCTGACACACAAATGTGTGTGTGTGTGTGTGTGTGTGTGTGTGACTGGGGAAATCACGCTGCTGTCAGAAGGGCAACTGGTGTGTGTGGATGGCGATAGAGCGATCTGAGGCAGCGAGCAGAGAGGAAGCTTTTTCATCAGTGTCTCAGTGCGTCTGACTGGCAGACGGAGACACTCTGCCTTTAAACTCTGACATGTTCGGCTGTGCAGAGACCCTGCAAATGCCAGAATGAATATGAATGGTGCATGTTTTCAAAGGAACATGCCAGGGAATTTTTTTTTTTTTTTCTGTGTCTGATTTACCTCCAGATGTGGACGACCATTTTCCAAAACAAACCACCACCAGCTTTTAGGTCAACTAGCAACTTAAAGCAGTGGTGGAAGGAGATTATTTGCTTATTTTAAAGTACCAGTACAAGACTAAAAAAATACTCTTTTACTTGTATTATGAACAAAATGTACTTAAAAAGGCCCATATGGCTGATACATTATTATATATGATATCATTAGATTGTTGATACTGATGCATAAATGTGTAATCGGCCTTTTAATGTTTTAGCTGCTCGAGGTGGAGATAGTTTGAACTACTTTGCTGTGCACCACGTATAATCTGTAACATGTATTTCAAAGGTTTGTCAAAAGAAATCTTAATCTGAAAGGTATTTATAGTTGACAGATAAATGAAGTGGACGTATAAAGCAGCGTACATTCTAAATACTCAAGTAAAGTACAACTTGAGTTAAATGTATTTAGTTACTTTCCATCACTGCCTTCAAGACAGATGTTGGTTTCTTTTCCATCACTGTAAACCACTTGCTGTCTTTATTTTGTACCTGCCTTATCTGAGCCTTTGTCTCGTTTACTGTCTTTTATTCTGTTCTATTAATAGCTGTCTCTTCTTGCTATTTCATTTCTGTTAACTGTTAGCAGGACGTTGCTCAGCCAACCAACCCTGTTGAATAAATGAGCTATTACATGGATTTAACCCTGAAAGAGAAACAAAATGATGGAAGTGACAATGTCAAATATACTTCTTGTATTTCAGTGTGAAACACTGCGATATGTTTGCTGTTAAAGAGATCTTCAGCAACTGACTCAGTAATTATGAATGTCAGTGTTTCCTTGAATGCACCATGAGGAAGAGTCCCTGCTCCAACTGCACGCAAGGATTACATAATTCTGAAAAAAAAAAAAGCTGACTAAATGTTGACTCTGGAGGATTACTAAAGCAGGTTTCCAGTCTGCAAGTTGATTTTATTATAGTGAAACCATGCAACCCAAACATATAGTTTCCTCACCTCAAAATAAAAAAGAAATCTCTCTTTTTGTCTTTAATCATCTACTATCAAACTCATCATCACTTTCACTCCCACGACTCTTGCTTACCTTGCGTCTGAAGACGGAGAAGGCCAGTCCGCAGGCCTTGCACAGCTGTCCGGCGCTCCCTGAGCTGGTGGGGGGGTAGGTGGAGTACCCGGCACTGGGGGCGAAGCGGAAGGGCCCCGCCCCTGCTCCGAACCCTGGCTGCTGCGCCCGCACCGTGCCCGTGCCCATCACCTCGTTCAGCAGTCCACAGCATGACGCCCACATGGACGATGCCCCCGCCTGAGGAGTACACACACACACACACACACACACACACACACACACACACACACACA